GGGGGGGGGGGGGGGGGGGGGGGGGGGGGGGGAGGGGGGGGTGGGGGGGGGGGGGGGGGGAAGGGGGGGAGGGGGGGGGGGGGGAGAAGGGGGGGGGGGGGGGGGGGAAGGGGAGGGGGGGGGGGGGGGGGGGGGGGGGGGGGGGGGGGGGGGGAAGGGAGGGGGGGGGGGGGGGGGGGGGGGGGGGGGGGGGGGGGGGGGGGGGGGGGGGGAGGGGGGGGGAGAAGGGGGAGGGGGGGGGGGGGAGGGGGGGGGAGGGGGAAGGGGGGGGGGGGGGGGGGGGGGGGGGGGGGGGGAGGGGAGGGGGGGAGGGGGGGGGGGGGGGGGGAGGGGGGGGAGGGAGGGGGAGGGGGGGGGGGGGGGGGAAGGGGGGGGGGGGGAGGGAGGGGGGGGGGGGGGGGGGGGGGGGAGGGGGGGGGGGGGGAGGGGGAGAGGGTGGGAGGGGGGGGAGGGGAGGGAGGGAGGGAAGGGGAAGAGGAAGGGGGGGGGGGGGGAGGGGGAGGTGGTTGGGAGAGGGGGGGGGAAGGGGAGAGGGAGGGGGGGGAGGGGGGGGGGGGGAAGGGGGGAGAAGGAGGGAGGAGGGGAGGAGGGAGGAGGGAAGGGGGGAGAAGGAGGAAGGGGGGGGGGAAGGGGAGGGTTGGAAAGGAGGGGGGGGGGAAGGGGAAGGGGGAGGGGAAGAGAGGGGGAGGGGGGGGGGGAGGAGAGGGGGGGAGGGAGAGAAGGAGAGGGGGAGGGGAACAGTAGAGGAAGGGAAGGTAGGGAGGGAGAAGGTGGGAGGGAGAGGAGGGGTGGGGAGGCAAGAGGAGGGGGGGGGGATGGAGGGATATTTTAAAAAGGGAGGGAGGGAGAAGGGAGGGGAGGGGGGGAAGAGGGGTATAGGTAGGAAGGTTATGGGAGAAAGAGGAAAAGCCATACAAGAAGATCGGGTTGCCAACTGCTGCACAGATCATATCTGATTTTTCCATGTCTTTCCTTGCCCCCCCCCCCCCCCCCCTTCCGCCCTGGTAATTAACTTAACCCTCTCTTACTCAATCCCTAATTTTAAAAAAATTAAACGTTTTGCCTTTTAGTTTACTTTAGTGTACAATTAGAAAATATTTCTGCATGAGAGAAAAAAAAAAATATGTTATCTCATGGCAAAATACAAAATCACACGAAGTACATGTCACCAATACATGCCCCCTTTTCATTTTTCCCAATCACACAAAATTCCCCTTCCGAAATGCTGCAGGTACAATTGAGGGATCCCAAAAAAAGAAAAAAAAAATACCTGTTGATCTGACGGAAATCAATTCCCCCCCCCCCGTGTTATTAAACTCAAGTTTTGGGCTGACAAACACACTGTCTCTGTTGTATGGAGGCCTGCCTGCCTGCGTGCTGTATCCCACCTGCCTATTGGACTACAGCATTCCACCTATCCCCCACCACTGCATTATTAAATAAATTGACCTTTAAAGAGGGGGTTTGGGGTCCCCACCCCCCCATAGGAAAATGACTCCTAAGTAATGTAGCTTGATGATGTCACGAGTTGTCCCCCCCTTACAGGAATCGTGGGGTGATAAATAAAAATATATAAACAAAATTCTGGGTCATGCTCTACAATGGGAGGTTTGTACTTTGAAAAAAAGTCAAATCCCCCCCCCCCCCAGATAAGTTCCAATTTTCACCTTCCAACCTCCCTCCACAGCACTTTTGAAACCTTTTTATTATTTTGACCCCCCAGGTACCTGGTTTTGGCAGGTACCCCTTCCTCCCCCCACACAATTCGCTTGGATGGCCCCCCACCCCGCAGCCATTGGTCCCAGGCCCCCCCCCCAGGACCATTCGCAAAGTGCCCCTGTGTTTAGCGCATGCACAGTGTGGAAGCCGCAAAGGAGTCACAAGCTGGCTTCCATTAATAATCATGTCGGGCCCGGGGGCAAAGACCGGAAAAGAACCCATTGGGTGAGAATAGGGAATGGACACCTGGACAGTGTGGAGGTGTCCCCATCCCCCAAAACAGCAACTGCCAGTATTTGTAGGGTACTGAAGATCCCTTTAAAAACCCAAAGAATTTCACCCCCCAAAATTCCAAGTGGGGGTTATACACATATTTTAAATCTGACAACCACACTAGCAGAAACTAATTGGTTTCAAAGATTCTAGCCAGGAAGAAAGAATACAGCTTCCCCCCCCGCAATATCTTCACCATACATATGCCAGAGTACATTTCCCAAACATTGAGCATTATAAAGCCTCCTAATAAACCCCCCTCATTGAAAATGGTTGGAAGCTGAAGATGCCCCCCCCACAATCATTCCCCAATCCCAGATATAGGTGATAGTTGCCCCCCCCCCAATCCCACCACACAACCCCCCCAGCCCCCCCCCCCCCAAACCCAACCCCCCCATTAAGTGTTGGCAAGTCCCCAAGAACCATCCACAAGTACACACCCCCCCCCCCCCCTTTTTCTGCCCCCCCCCAGTTGGCAACCCCCACCCCCCCCCCCCCAACCCCAACCTTATCAGCCCCACCCCCATCAACCACACCACACCCCCACCCCCCCCCCCCCCCCCCCACCCCCCCCCCCCCCCCCCCCCCCCCCCCCCCTTACGTACCCTTTTCCTAGTTATAAAAACCCAATGCGTTTTACTTTTGGTTTGCCATTGCAAGACCATGGAAGCGCTGTATGTATCCAATATTTTCACAGAAGGGAAAGCGCTGCAGGCTGCATTTTCCTAGACAGCAGCCCACAAAAACACTTACATGGAAAATATTCAGTTAAATATAAACATTTCCACTGCATTTCTGTTATGGTTTGGTTTCTTACCAGATTACTGTGCAATGGACCAAGGAAAGTTTCTAGATTTTTTTTTTTTAAGTATTTTGTCATAATTAATCATATATTTTTACATTTCATGACACTTCTTCAAAATCTAATACACAGAATCTATAATAAAACCTTATATTTCACTTAATCATACACATCATTGCCTAGAACATGTACAGCTTTGACTTCCTTTGTACAGTTGTGTTCAAATTAATAGCAGTGTGTTGAAAAAAGTGAATAAAGCTCAAAATCCTTCTAATAGCTTTTATTTCCATACACACAAATGCATTGGGAACACTACACATTCTATTACAAATCAAAACATGAAGAAAAATATATCAAATTTGTGTTGTTCCTCTAAAAAAAATGAAGAGAAAAGCGAATATTAGACTGTTCAAAAAAATAGCAGTGTTTGTATTCTTTTCTTTACAAACTCAAACATTCACTATATAAACAGAAAAATGTTTGAAGATTTTGCTTTCCTTTGAATCACTTAATTAATATTTAGTTGTATAAGCACTGTTTCTGAGAACTGCTGTACATCTGTGTTGCATGGAGTCAACCAACTTCTGGCACCTGTGTGAACAGGTATTCCAGCCCATGATGATTGGACTACATTCCACAGTTCTTCTCTATTTCTTGGTTTTGCCTCAGAAACTGCATTTTTGATGTCACCCCACAAGTTTTCTATTGGATTAAGATCCGGGAATTGGGCTGGCCACTCCATAACGTCAATCTTGTTGGTCTGGAACCAAGATGTTGCACGTTTACTGTTGTGTTTGGGGTCGCTGTCTTGTTGGAACACCCATTTCAAGGGCATTTCCTCTTCAAGTATTCTGATGTATTCAAACTGATCCTTGATCCCTGGTATGCGATAAATAGGCCCAACACCGTAGTATGAGAAACATCCCCATATCATGATGCTTGCACAACCATGCTTCACTGTCTTCACAGTGTACTGTGGCTTGAATTCAGTGTTTGGGGGTCGTCTGACAAAACTGTCCCCGGCCACTAGACCCAAAAAGAACAATCTTACTTTCATCAGTCTACAAAATCTTGCGCCATTTCTCTTTAGGCCAGTCAATGTGCTCTTTGGCAAATTGTAACCTCTTCAGCACGTCTTTTTTTCAACAGTGGGACTTTGCGGGGGCTTCTTGCAGATAGCTTGGCTTCACATAGGCGTCTTCTAATTGTAACAGTACTCGCAGGTAACTTTAGACCTTCTTTGATCTTTCTGGAGCTGATTGTTGGCGGAGTCCTTGCCATTTTGGCTATTCTTCTATCCATTCGAATGGGAGTTTTTTGCTTTCTTCCACGTCTTTCAGGTTTTGGTTGCCATTTTAAAGCATTTGCGATCATTTTAGCTGAGCAGCCTATCATTTTCTGCACTTCTTTATATGTTTTCCCCTCTCCAATCAACTTTTTGATCAAGGTACGCTGTTCTTCTGAACAATGTCTGGAATGACCCATTTTTCTCAGAATTTCAGAGAGAAATGCACTATAACCAGCATGTACAACATTTGCTGCCTTCCTTCCTTAAATAAGGGCAATAATTGCCACCTGTTTTTTTCAAAGAATGAATGACCTCACTAATAGAACTCCACACTGCTATTATTTTGAACATGCCCCTTTCAATTAGTGATTCAATTACACAGAATCAGCAGCATGCATGTCATGACTGTTGGGTCTGTTGGATTTCTTTTACTCTACTAAACCTGCTAGTAAATTATTTGCCATGTAGAAATATCATTTTTACCAAAGACAGTGATTGATCATGTTAGTGATGTCTGACTGCTATTATTTTGAACACAACTGTATATTTGCAGTTTTAATTTATATACAAGATGTTCACATGCCAAAACACTAAACCCAGGGGACCTTTTTTGCATCATCATTGGAGTTCTGACCAGAGGTGGTCCTATTAATAAATATGTAAATAAATTGCAATGTCAACTGATGCTGCAATTTATTTACATACTTATTGGGATTGGCATATATCAATTGCTTTGTTAGTTGCATTACCTACCCACTGAGCACAGACTTTTTTTTAAATAGTTATACTGTTGTTATAATCTCTCTGGATTATTTCAAGGCTCAAGGCCCATCATTACATCAAAGCAGGGATATTGTCCTTGAAAAAGCAAACCTATAAACACATCAGAAGATGAAGATGATAGATGTTAGGACTGTGTTACCTGATACTCTTGGGGAATAAAATTATCAATAATGATCATTTGAAGACGAAGCTCTCGACTAAGCTGCCTGATGTTCTCCAACAGCCCTTCTATTTCTCTTTGGTGCTCTTGCTGCAGATCAGCCATCTAGCATTGTAGCAAACAATAAATAAGTAGTAAATGTAACAGAACACAATATACTTTAAGAACACAAGGGCATACCTGAAACTAACAGAAGGGAAGGTCAATACTAACCTTATTAATTTTTATTTTACCGTATAAAATAATAAATGTTTGAACTAGACTTCCAGCAGAAGCAGTGATTTAAACAGTACGTAAATTTAAACATTGGCCTATACTCAGAAAGAAAAAAAGAAAAAAAAACAAAAAACTTGGGAGGCAGACTTGATGGACCAGTCGATGATCCAGGTCTTTTCTGCAGTTTGTACATTATAAAGATATATAAAGATTAATAGACAAACATTACTGTAATGTAATCATAGAAGATTGTATTTAACTATATACAGATACAAAAATGAATAAACCAATAATGAATCCTTTGATATCATTAGATGTTATTTATGTGGTTCCATGTACTGCCACATACTCTGAAGAGCCCATCTGCTGGATGCCATGAAATCATGTGAGCATATCTGTGAATGATATAATCATTAGTGACTACCCACTTTCTATGCAAGAGCACAAGACATTGTATTCAAAGTGGTTATGCGACACGTTTGCCTATATTATCTGGTCCATTTGTAATGGTGCTGATATTCTTATGCTGGTCTTTGGTTGCATATTATATGTTGCATGTGGATAACATGTCTGTAACATTCTGTCTTTGAACTGGATGATTATGCTCCGCTGTTACCTACTGCACAGGGACAAGTTGCGCAGAGTATTACATGGCCATGAAGATGAAGAGCGTGGGCTAACAACTCAGGTTTTGAATTTAACATCTCTAAGTTTTGGTACGCGAGTGAAATGGTTTGCAGTATGCTTTACATTGGGAATTGCATTTTCAATGCTTACTGATTGATTGTATACACCGGAGAAACATAGGATCGTGAGAGACAAAAGGGATCCTCCTGTTAATATTGGTTTTCCAACATCTTTCCCTGCTTGAAAGCAATGGTGGATATACATCACCAAGCCATTATATCCATGCGTTTATGACTCTTATTGGTTTAAGGGTCCACATGGTCCAGTAAGAGTCCTACTAATATATGGTGGTGGTTCACTCATTCTACCAAAGACACATGGGGGTTTATTTACTAAAGCTGGAGAGTCCAAAATCAGACTTCCTTCTGCCTAGAAACCAATCAGCTTCTAACCTCAGCTTGTTCAATGAAGCTTTGGCAACGAAACCTGGAAGCGGATTGGTTTCTATGCAGAAGGGAGTGTAATTTTGGACTCTCCAGCTTTAGTAAATAAACCCCATGGTGTTTGACTTCACATACACCAGGACTGTATGATTACACAGATGGCCCAGAAAAAAAAAAAAAACCTCACACAAAAAAAAGGAGGTTAATGCACAATACATGTAAATTGCTCCACAAGGGGAACAGGAAAGTAATATATATGCATCCCCTTAAAACACCAAATTAAACCATAATAAAAAATAGAATCATTGCTTTTTTTCCCAAACTTGCAAGCACTCAGTTGTAAGTACATGGTCATCTCTTTTTTTCTACTGTAGTTAGACCATTTATCATGATCCTGAGTTGGCCTAAAAAGATACCAAAAGTAACAAAAAGTGTAAAAAAGCAGACATTTCACGGTGCCTGCAAGCACCTGTGTTAGTTTTTAAATAGTTCAAATGTTCCTTTGTTGCTTGGATATAAGGCCTAGATGGTAAGGTCACCCCTGCCACAGAGAGACAATTAAAGACTAACACAGGTTTTGCTAGTGTCACAAGAAGCCTGTACTCCAGAATGGTTTTGGCTTTCAACACTTTTTAAGTCAGTTGTCAAAAATATTTTAGGAACTCTGTTACCCGTCAGCTTCATTTGCATTCATGAAATAGTTAGCAGTATAGAATGCAATTATTATTTAGTAATAAAATTGCAAAATAATGGCTTACAATATACAAAGAAAGATGTATGAGAACAATTAGTCTGCACAATAAACAAAAAGAAAAGAAAAAGATGAGGATAGCAGAACAAACCTCAGACTTGGCTGCCATCAGCATGGTCCACACTTTTTTCAACTTTTTGGTTTTACCCCTGGGCCTCCTCCTGTAAGCTTGTGTACTTTTCTTCAATATCTAAGCGTTCTTGCTGTATGACATAAAACAGTATGGCTTTATAACTCAAATATTTCTTTGCATATGCATTCTCTTTGTCATAAGAAATGTGCACTCACTTGTAGCCCAGGGGCACTGTATAGGCATAGCTGTCAATTGTTATACAGGTGAAACTCGAAAAATTAGAATATCGTGCAAAAGTTTCATTTATTTCAGCAATGCAACTTAAAAGGTGAAACTAGTATATGAGATAGACTCATTACATGCAAAGCAAGATAGTTCAAGCTGATTTTTCATAATTGTGATGATTATGGCTTACAGCTCATGAAAACCCCAAATCCACAATCTCAGAAAATTAGAATATTGTGAAAATGTGCAATATTCTAGGCTCAAAGTGTCCCACTCTAATCAGCTAATTAAGCCATAACACCTGCAAAGGATTCCTGAGCCTTTAAATGGTCTCTCAGTCTGGTTCAGTAGGAATCGCAATCATGGGAAAGACTGCTGACCTGACAGTTGTGCAGAAAACCATCATTGACACCCTCCATAAGGAGGGAAAGCCTCAAAAGGTAATTGCAAATGAAATTGGATGTTCCCAAAGTGCTGTATCAAAGCACATTAATAGAAAGTCATGTGGAAGGGATAAGTGTGGAAGAAAAAGGGTGCACAAGCAGCAGGGATGACCGCAGCCTGGAGAGGGATTGTCAGGAAAAGGCCATTCAAAAGTGTTGGGGACTTTCACAAGGAGTGGACAGAGGCTGGAGCCAGTGCATCAAGAGCCACCACACACAGATGGATCCTGGACATGGGCTTCAAAATGTCATATTTCTCTTGTCAAGCCGCTCCTGAACAACAAACGTCAGAAGCGTCTTACCTGGGCTAAAGAAAAATAGTCCTCTTTTCTGATGAGAGCACCTTTTGCATCTCATTTGGAAACCAAGGGCCCAGAGTATGGAGGAAGAATGGAGAGGCACACACTGCAAGATGCTTGAAGTCCAGTGTGAAGTTTCCACAGTCTGTGTTGATCTGGGGAGCCATGTCATCTGCTGGTGTTGGTCCACTGTGCTTCATTAAGTCCAGGGTCAACGCAGTCGTCTACCAGGAGATTTTGGAGCACTTCATTCTTCCTTCCACAGACGAGCTTTATGGGGATGCTGACTTCATTTTCCAGCAGGGCTTGGCACCTGCCCACACTGCCAAAAGCACCAAAACCTGGTTCAATGAACGTGGGATTACTGTGCTTGATTGGCCAGCAAACTCGCTTGACCTGAACCCCATAGAGAATCTATGGGGCATTGCACAGAGAAAGATGAGAGACACGAGACCGAACAATGCAGAAGAGCTGAAGGCCGCTATTGAAGCATCCTGGTCTTCCATAACACCTCAGCAGTGCCACAGGCTGATGACTTCCATGCCACGCTGCATTGAGGCAGTAATTGCTGCAAAAGGGGCCCAAACCAAGTACTGAGTACATATGCATGCTTATACTTTTCAGAGGTCCGATATTGTTTCTATGTGCAATCCTTGTTTTATTGATTGCATGTAATATTCTAATTTTCTGAGATTGTGGATTTGGGGTTTTCATGAGCTGTAAGTCATAATCATTACAATTATGACAAATCACAGCTTGAACTATCTTGCTTTGCATGTAATGAGTCTCATATATTAGTTTCACCTTTTAAGTTGCATTACTGAAATAAATGAACTTTTGCACGATATTCTAATTTTTTGAGTTTCACCTGAATTTTCAGTTAGTAGATTTCCAGTTTCAATATAACTATTTAGTTGTTAGTTTGCTATTCCCCAGACCAATATAAATGTCACTAAAAAGGGCTTTGAAGACCAAGTCTACATGAAAGAGCTTACTGCTGTTTAAGACACCAAAACAGAGATCTCCCTTTGCATGGCAAACAAGCTAAGAAGCCAAAAATACAGTTGTCACTTCTTGAATGAGTTCATCATATGTTCAAATCATTTGCTTCATTTTAGAAGACCAGTTACATTATCTGGCAACCCAATATCTCCTGCCTGGCTTCACACCTTTTGTCTTAAAAAAAAAAAAAATAAGGTTCTCTTAGCCCAAGATGGGATCGGACCCAGGATTGTTCATAATGAGAAGATAACTAACCTCCTTCTCCTCTAGTTCCCTGCGAAGCTTCTCTGCTCTCCTTCTGCGTTCCTCAAGTTCAGCATTTGATTCTTCTAAAAGCCGTTCTTGTTCCTCTGCTTTGGCCAATAAATCCACCCCACCAACGATGACCTTCTTCTCCAAAGCAGAAAGTTTCTCTAGAAGGGACTGATGTTCTAGTCTTAAAAAGATAAAACAACCCTGTATTTCTCTTCCTAAAATAACTTTCAAACATTGCCTCCTAAATAAACCAAAGACATGAGCTGCTAGCAAATTCAACATGTTCAAATGATAAAACAGAAGTAGTGACTTACTATCAGCTGTTACAGATTGCAACAAGAAATCGAATCAAAGGGAGATCAGAAACACTTACATGCATACTCGTTAAGGCTCAGTGACTCAAAATGTATCAGCTTTTGGAATGAAAGGCAACAACTATTCTCAGGAGGATGGCAATAGCAGTAGAAGATTTTAATCACCTCCTTTCATACAATATATAAAAATGGGGATCCTACCAGTCAATGGGCCTTCCTCCTCCAGGGTGACAATGTTATATGGCTTGCAGCATACTTACTGCAACACTGTCACCCTGACAGTTCACTGCAGTGATCTGATCTACAGGGTTGCATCATTATGTATGAATAGGAGGAGAGATATCAGCATTGTTACCAATGAATATTGAAACCCCCCTCCTTACTGCCAAACAGCACAGGACATCTGCTCCTGGAATGACAATGGTCACTCTGTGAGTTTTTCCACTGAAACCTGGAAAATATATAGCCGGCATGGGAATCTTTCCCATTTAATAGTGTGCAGCAACAGCCCTGAAGAAGGGAGAGTCTTGTCTCCCGAAACACATTAGTTTAATGTACTTGTTGTTATTCTCAATAAATGCCTCTTAATCTACCATCAAAAGTGCATTCTTTTGGACATCGGGCACTCCTTCTTTCCTATTATTCCAAGTGAAGGTGTGGAAACGGCCTTAAGGCCGTACCAGAAAGGCAACAGCCCAAACCCTAAGAGGGTTTACCGCCAGCATCCACCATTGGGCACAGCTGACTGGAGGGACATCTCCCTACCCACCCACACAAGCACCCACCTACGACCAGTGACTGAATCAGTCAGTCCAGCGCAGTCTTCACACAAACTGGGTATTGAATAGGGAATATGAATGTTTTTTTTTTTTTTTTTAAAGCTCTTACATACAAGTGTTCTGTCTAGGTCTGCCTTTCAGTTTTTTTCTGTACATACATACATTCAAGTCTGTTTATGCTCATAGAAAAAAAACAAAAAAAAAACCCCAAAAGCTGAACAAGCTGAGTTACAATCCATGAATGGCCAGCTTCAGGCACTAAAATGTTTTCACAAACAATGAGAATTTTAAAAACATTCTAAAGCTAGCCATGCACTGGAATAATCATTCCTACAAAAAAACTTTGGCAGAGACTTCATGAATGTACAAACGTTCAAAAGTATGTCAAAATTGTGTTTGGTTTTGGCATTGAATGAAGTTAACAATGGGTAAAATCAAACAAAAAAATCAAACAAAAACCAAATACATACACTGTTAGAAATGAGTTTGTTAGAGACAAATTTTCCATCCTGCTCCTTCCAATTTTCTCATCACTACAGTCAAAAATGAACATTGATTTGCCTCCACTAGAAATTGCACTAGTGGATGGTCAGCTTTAGACTTCTTGCTTAAAAGCCACAAGAAGGCACTGTACACAGTGCATACTCAAAGGATACATGCAATTAAAATGGACATATCATTATGAAGCACACAAACATGAACTGCCTCTACAGAAAAAAATAAACAGAACACAAAATCTATATCCTGCAGAAATGAATCTGTTCCTTGTCGGGAGATGGGAGTGTTAACCTAAGTCAGTGTTTTGTATTTGCATTAGAATTGTGTATGTGTGCTGAGCTAAAGATAGGGCTTAGGTAGAATGGACATTATTTTCTATTGCAAGAAAATATCTTCCTCATCTCTAAAGTTGTGCTTTGTAAGGAAGCTATAAAGTGCCAGCTAGTGGTTAGCAAACACTGTGCCTCAACAGGAAGATTACTGAAGGACATACATGGGTGAAAACCTTTTCCATTTTTCTAAAACTCAACTACAGCTAATATTTGACAAGACTACAAAAGACAAAAATGCCATATTATTCAAGCTTGTGAGCAAATTGTTGATGTTGTTGCCCACAGTGAAGACAACCAAAGGAGTGGATTTCCTCAAAAGTCTTCAAACACAACATTTTCTAGATCAACGGACAGCACCACATGATCCCTCCAGGTTTTTTGGATGAGACCTACAACTGTGAATGAGTAAATATTTCATCAGTTTTACTCACTGTGCTTTTAGCAGGTCTTTCTCTCTCTTCTCCAGTTCTGCTCTCGCTTTATTCCTTTCTTCTTCCTCCATATCAAGTTTTGCTTCAAGAGCCTTCCTTTCTTCATCAATCCGTGCTTGCATTTCTGCCATTTTATCAGGGGATACCTTTTTCTTGCCTATAAATATAAGGCCAATTATTATGACACACATGCAGCACAATCATGCTGCTGAACTAAACCACCATCCAGGATTCCAAACACAAACACAAATCTTGTACTTGAATGTTTTCACATTCAATACAAAGTTATACCACCCCTACACATACACAGACTAATAGCTATTATTGCACAGTATGTTAACCATTAACAATACAATCTGAGTATCTCAGTCCTTTGTTAGAAGGCTGTGTATGATCCAATTCCAATATATGGTGGAATTGTAAAGTATAATTTAAAAAATGTAAATACGATAATGACTTGATGGAATGGGTCTGATTTTTAAAATTAGAAAACACCCATGCTGCCCATAGTAATCAGAATCAGATTCCAGTTGTTCATCAACACAGGTTAAACTTTTGTTGCCAAGGGCAATACAACCTCTTCGCTTCCAAATGGCTTTATAAATATGTACAAAGAGTTAGCCACTGGTAGAAGCAGGGAAAAAATCTATTTGACGTGCAACTACATTTATATTTGCTGCAAGCTTTCAAGAATGTATTTTTGTTAGGCAGGTTGATAATAATTAAGTTGACCATTTTGATAACTTGACACACATTCAGTTAGGTGAATAAACTTCATCAGTTATGTGTTAGCTTGCCTGCATACATTTAAAAATATAGTACTGTTAGTAAGAATACAGATGAAAAATATGAATACAACTTTTATTACGCAGATAGTCACAGCAACCTCAAAACACACTTTGGAGAAGCACTTGCCTTCAAGGCCTTAGTCAATGTGAACTAGGCAGATCAGTGCTTGCAGCAGACCACCATACCACTTAGAAAGACTGAGCTCAAACCCATCACACCAACCTGCTGGTTCTTGTGTTATCAAGCAGTAGCAATTAAATCGCAGGTGAGCAGCAGTGAAGAGAGAAAAAAAAAAACATGGAAGTTATATTACTCTTACAAAAACGTAAACCTGGTCACATGCGGGCTTTGCTGAATCAGGCAGAGACTTTGAGCAACTGAAGAAGCAATGTAATATATTAGTGTGTTAAAATTTAAGGAGTGTATTTATTTATTTAAAAAAAAAAAAAAAAAAAATCACAGGAATTTTCCCAGTAATCGCACATATACATTTGTTCTGTGCAGATGGGGCAAAAAAAAAAATTAAAAAAAAAAATAAAATAATTGTTAGACTATTTTCTGTGCTAGTTTAACCACTTGAGCTCCTCTTCATGACCAGGCCATTTTTTGCTGTTTGGCACTGCGCTACTTTAACTGGTAATTATGTGGTCACGCAACGCTGTATGCACACAAAATTTATATAATTTTTTTTTCACACAAATAGAGCTTTCTTTTGGTGGTATTTGACCTCGCTGTGTGGAACCTGACTAACTGTCACTGACACTAATACAGTGATCAATGCTAATAAATATACACCGTCACTGTACTAATGACACTTGCTGGGAAGGGGGTAACATCTCGGGCAATCAAGGGATTAAATGTGTGCCTAACAATGTTTATTGTGTGTACAGTGTTCTGTTTTACTAAGTAATGTGCTGGTTTTGGCTCCCTGCTTATTAAGAAGAAAAAAAAATGGCACATGGATGCTGTCTGAAGAGAGCCCTGTATTGTTCACTAACACAGGGCTCTCTTCTGTCATTTCCTGAGCCGATCAGTGGGTTCCAGCCATAATTCATTGGCTGGGGCTCACTGATCGGCTTGTGCTGCAGCGAATGACAGCACAGTCTTCAATGTCTGTGCATGCATGCACAAGCAGACCTGAAAGAAAGCCATAAAGTAGAGGTATGTGATTGTCACTCTAGGAGCCAACCTGCAGCAGTAAATGTGATTGGAAAGGATCAAATTTAGAAAAAAAAAAAAACACCCACAATAAACATGTTATACATACCTGCTCTGTGCAATGCCATCTAGTGGTCAAATGCACTACTTTCTATTTTAACATTAGTCTTTGCCCCATTTGCAAAGAACAAATGTAAATGCCTTTCTCAGGGCAAACTGCTATGCACGGGTTTTTTTTTTAAATAAATATATGCCTTACTGTTTAAAATCCCATTTATTTGGCATCATGTAAAAAGAATCACACATAAGCAACATGCACCCTTAACAAGTACTGTACTAAAGTGGTATAGAACAAGGGTGTGACATTTTTTTAAACAAGAGACAGAGCAGCTGTGACCCCCTCCCCCCAACCCCTTTCAGAACTAGCTAAAAAACTAAGTGCATTTGCATAGTCATTTAACTTGAGTAAGAGTTTGCTTATCATCTCAATGTCTGCTAACAAACATTTGCCAAGTTATCAGCACTTCTCAGTGAGAAAATTAGGAATAGGGCAATGTAAACCCTGGTTCACACCATGTGACTTCTCATGTGATTTGTTCCAAATCGTATGACAAGCTGAATCCTATTGGTCGGCAATGAAATCGTTCAAATCAGTGCGACTCCGACTTTGTGGTGCCATGCCGATAAGGTTGCAGTGCTGCACAGATTTGGAAAAAGGTTCCTGCACTATTTTTTGCAATTTCAGGTGTGACTTGCATAGACATCTGTGCATGAAATCGCACTGACTTGTAGCTTTGAAATCGTGTGCCTTCAAGTGAAGTTGCACGATTTTAAAGTTGGTTTCAGTGTGAACCAAGTAAAACTGTAAAACATTTTATTTTTGCCACACTTTGAACCTCAGGGTAATTAAACCCATTTGGAGTACATCGCATGCAATAAAATGTTCTACACAGGGCTAAGATATCATAAAACCCATTTAGGCCTGCTCTATGCTGACAGATATCCTACTTGACCGGCAAAAGACCTCTTCTCCAATTCATACACAATCTTCACATAGGGCGTTATTTACAAAAACTGGAGTACAAAATCTGGTGCAACTCAGTACAGAAACCAACCAGCTTCCAGGATTTATTGCCAAAGCATAATTGAACAAGCTGAAGTTAGAAGCTGATTAGCTACCATGCACAGCTTGACAAGATTCTGAGTGTACCAGTTTTAGTAAATCTACCCCATAATGCCTAAAATCAGACAAGACCAAGCAACATTACTGTTGATTATATATTTGAATTTGGGAGAAAATACTCAACAGATCAAGATCACACATGACTAGACTATCATTTACAGGAAGCGGAATAGACATCTTCTACCTCCTGGGTGACTTGCCTATCTGGAATATCGTGTTTAGTATCTCTGGAATGGAAATTGCATGTTTTTTTTAATATTAGACATTTCTGGACTACTAAGCTCTGTAGAGATCTTACTGAAGATCATCTTGGAATCAGTTTACACAGCCGGCTGTTCATAACAGGGGGCTGCAAATGGGTGTGTGTGTGTGTGTGTGTGTGCGTGCGTGCGTTAAGGCAACAGCCACAGGCTCCTCTTATAAATTGAAGGACTTCATCATGTGTACCACTGAAGGGTAGTGTATATGATGGAGTGCCCTTGTTCACTTCAGTATGTTGGGCGTAGATCTTTACACGTGAGGATTAGGGAACATATTAATATTAAGAACGGTAAGAAGGAACATAGTGTTTATAAACATTTTACAGAAGTCCATGGGAAAGACCTCACAGGATTAAAATTCTGGGGGGTGGAAAAAGTCATACATTGGAGAGAAGGTAATTTTATATGGTTTTTGGGTCAGAAGGAATCCTTTTGGATTTTTGAAACCAAGGGTCTGTCACCTAGGGGTCTTAATATTGATTTAAATTGTTTTATTAGTAATAGTTGAGTGTTTTAGTCGGTATATATTCTTGTATGCATGTGCAGTTTGATGTATTTAAGTTGGGTATTGTAATGATACAGCCCGGGTATATGCATATTATTCATCATTAATGTTTTTATGCATCAGGGTTTTGGGGTGATAGCCTGGGTAGATGTGGGGTTAATGTGTAGGCGTCTGGTCTTTTGTGTGGAGGATGGGAGAGAGTGTTTTCTGACAGAGATTGGTGGGAATCTCCTGTTACCCTCACTTAAGATGGCCGCTGGTGTACTTAGGGTGGTGTGTGTGCAGTCCGTGGGCAGAGAAGAGGCCAGTATTGGCACTTCCGCTCAGGGATGATGACGCACTGCCAATGCCTGTGTTCAGTGGGAATCTTATATTACCCTCACTTAAGATAGTGTGCAGTCTACAGGTGGAGAAGAGGCCAGTATTGGCACTTCCGCCCAAAGATGACTCACTGCCTGTGTCTCCATGACCAATTGGACACAAATTGGGGGAATGTGTGGCTATAAAAAGGTTGTGTTAGAACGGCTCTCCACCTAATGAGGAAGCCCTGAGAGGGGTCGCAACGCGTCTAGGAAGGAGGAGCCGGTACTGTGTTACCACACCGCCACTATCTTGCTAGCAGAGCGGTAAGCTGGATGTGGATACACATTTTATGCTTTTTATATCTGTAAGTGTTATTTTAGTGAGGGATACAATAAAGTGATATACAAATAGCACTATGTTTCGGTATTTCTGTTGCATGAGATCAATTTTGGCCTGATGTCAGAGTGTTTGGAAGGCGAGAGGAGATAAGATATGTCACTGCGTCTGGGGAGTTGAGTACACCCAGATGAGCAGGTTTTTTTACCTGGCATGGTGGATGATCACTGAATATTACTAAAGAAGATATTCACAGAAGTGATACACGTCACTGAGGAGATTGTTTATGGACTCTTTAGTTTATCACTTGTATATGTTTTGCACAGGAGTACTTATGTTTTCGAACAGATTATTAATTTAGAGATGTGTCATCCCATCAGCCAATTGCATCAAGGGTCAGAAAAGGGAGACTGTTCAGTAGTCTGGTGCTCTTTTACAATCAAATAAGGAACATCAGCCAAGTTCTTTGACAGCAAACTGATCAATCTTGCACATTGACTGGCCAAACACACTGAGGCAGACTTTGTTAACCTCCCTAGCGGTATGATTATGTCAGTATTTCTGTGCTCAAAGCGGTACATTTTTTTTCCATGGAAATAGGTTTTTTTTTTTGTAGGCCTGTA